CACACAAAGCAAAGTCTGTACACGTTGGTAGATCGGTTCGGCAGGTCACGTGCGGTGCTGGGGTAAAGTGTGGGCACACTTGACAACCTCTCCTCCAAGGCGCACTTAGCCAGCGTGGAAGAGCAGGCCAAAAATTCCCTCCCGGATGGGCCCTTTCCACGAGTCATGGTCGTGAGAATGAATCTGCACGGTTTACTCTCTCGTCAAGGAACATGAAACCATCATCACTCCGGCGATCCTCGCTTTTGGCTGCTGGCCATCGAACAAATAGACAGATGCGCTGCTGCGGCCGTCTGAAAGCACTTCCGTCCGATCTTAGGAAGCCACTGAAGCGATGCGCTTTTAAATCATCTCAATTGAAAACTAATTTCCACAGCACTGCTTTTTGTGATCAGTTGTTTTTTCCCTTCCGCCGCAACTTCGACGAGCACGGTTGGCTACGTACGGTGCAGAAGAAGCTGAACGTAAGTACATCTTCAGCTAATGTGTTGATAGGTGATTAATGCACAGTTTGATAGGCTAACCGGTAGCTGGTGAAACTCACCGAGCAAAACGATGGGAACCACAGACATTGCCACAGCAAGACGGAACAAAAAAAAAACCGACGAGATTTCAGACAGAGATGGAGAGAGTGCGGAGGGTGGGTGGAGGGGGGGGGGTTGAACTAGCTTCTCTCAGCATGACTGCCACGGCAAGAGAGTTTATTTATAGCCGAATGGATATCTACGAGCCATATGCCGGCACACGGCTCTTGCGTTTGGGCGGCAAGAGAGGGGATGGCAACGCTTCGCCACGCAAGTCCCCCGTCGCGACATCCGAGCCGAAACGATGAATCGGATAAAATCAATCTCGGTGGAACACGTTTTGAAAAATTTCTATGCAATTCATTAATTGGCATTCACCTGAGCTTGTTAATTGATATAACTCGGGATCGGTTTAGATATCGCGAGCAGCTCGTTGTTCACCACAGCCCGGTATCGAACTCGGGTGGCGAGGTCCTCCGTGCAGTCTTCTGAACCTCCGTTGCAGTCGCACAAAATCGTGAATTTTATTTGAAAACTGTGCACGGAATTTGGATTTGAAGCTTTCGTGACTGCAGGGATCCATTCCCTTTAGTCGAAGTTTCGATCGCAAACACAAGCAACCGTCATCAGGTGAGACAATCGCAGCAGGGAAAACCGCTGAACACAGCCTGTCGAAGCCTGTGTTGAGATCGAAATGTCGTGATCTATTATTTGTCCTACCTACGTGACTTTACCGAAAGAACCAAAGGGAATGTTCACGGAATTGTTCTATTCAACTGCTTGAAGCGATAACTGATCAACGAATCCGGCCTTTTAACGGTTCGCCGCCGCAGTCTTTCGCCCGCAGCCCTGTGACCGCTCGCTCGCGCCACCGCTGGCTGAAGGGGTGAGAGTACCCACACTTGACCCCGCGATGCCGGTTTATGACCCGTTGGCATATCCATTAGACTGCCCAGTAGACAGTGGGGTTGGAAAGCGGTGTGTGGAGAGTGGGCGGGGAGGAGGGTCAGATGTCAACGACCTCGCCTGGTATGCTAGGAGTGCGTGGGTTCGATCCCGACCCTGACGCCTGCTGTTTATTTTGAGTTTGCGTGTCTCTCTCCCCTTGGTCGCTTGGATTTTTTTGTCTCCGGGTACTCCGGGTTTTCCCTCCACATTTAGAAACGACGTGCGTTTACATTTCCACACGACGAGCCACTTCGTTGAGCTATCATTTGTGGCCAGGTCGCTTCTGAAAAAAAATAGCTACATAGCTCAGTGGGCCTTTGAAAATAAATCTGCCTTTATTTATTAATATTAAACATTTATTAATAGTTTCATTTATTTAGTTTTTTTTCGTTACCGGGAGGTGGAATCGAACTGGCGCGCACCCACCGTGTGGATTCCGATCCGCGGCAGCAGCAGCAGCAGCGCCCCCAGCCGCAGCCGCGGGCGACACGAAACGTATCGTGGGCGCTTGCCCAAGCCTCGGGGGGGGGGGGGGGGGGCGGCACCGAGTGGCTTCAGGAACTTAAAGAGGATGCGGCTGCGGGAGCGATGAAACCGATAAAGGAAGGAGGGAGGAGGGGATCCCTCGGGCGCCAGAGACTCCTCCATAGGGGCGTGGGGAGGGGAGTGTTTGTGAGCCCAAGTGTACGCTCTCTCGATTTTTGGCCACGACCGCCAGTCATCTGCGAAAGACGCACGCGCACCAATTGGGGATCGCTCAGGGTCCGTTGTTGAGATACCTTGTAGCTTTGTTACATGTGTTTGTGTGTGTGTGTGGAGGAGGAGGGATCATGTGTTACGTATGTGTGGGTGCTTGGGTTCGTGTGTGTGGGGAGCGGTGGTGTAGCTGTTAGCGCGACGCTGAGCTGCAAACCCGACCACCCGGGTTCGATTCCCGCCCACGGCCAACACCGGCGACAATTATTTGAACCGGTGCTGGGCTTACCCTAGGTACGACTCAGCCTCAAATGAGTACCTGGTGCGATGTGTAAACATCGCCACTAGGAAGACAAAGGCGGCCGGGCGTGGTGTGCCGTGCCCGCCTTCACAGGGGCTCGCTAACAGCACTTGCCCCAACAGTCTGTTAAGGCTACACGGGGGATCTTTTTTAGTATTTTGTGTGTGCGTGGGCGGCATGCTGTTTATCCCTTGGCACGGTGCTACAAAACCGGCGACCCGAGTTTGACTCCCGCTCACGGCCAATAATTACAACAGAGAATATTTCAAACCGGTTCTGGGCCTCCCCTGGGTCAACTCGGCCTCAAATGAGTGCCTGGTGCGTGCGGCGCGCGTAAACACCGGCACTGGGGAGACGAAGGTGGCCGGGTCGATGATATTGCATCGCAAGGATCGTGAGAGTTGGCTACGGGTCGAGGAGGCCTGCAGCCAGCAGTGGACGACTGATGGCAATGAGTCTGCTTGACCACGATATGAAGACCGGGGGAGCGATAGTGGATCTGAATTGCTTTGGAAAAACAAATCTTATATTGAACTCAAATTACCCTGAGTAAAAGCGCGGAGAGTGGGCGAGCGTTGGGATGAGCGCACGTGGGTGAGAGAGAGAGCGTGAGAGAGAGCGTGGTGGGTGAGAGAGAGCGTGGTGGGTGAGAGAGAGAGAGCGTGAGAGAGAGCGTGGTGGGTGAGAGAGAGCGTGGTGGGTGAGAGAGAGCGTGGTGGGTGAGAGAGTGAGCGTGGTGGGTGAGAGAGAGCGTGGTGGGTGAGAGAGAGCGTGGTGGGTGAGAGAGAGCGTAGGTGTGAGGGATAGATCGTGAGAGAGAGTGGTGGGTGAGAGAGCGTGCGTGGGTGTGAGGGATAGAGCGTGGGTGTACTTGCCCGTGTGTCAGTGCGCACATTTCATTGTTCAACTAACAAACCAGGGCTCTCAAACCCCCGAGGCTCTCTTAACAGACTGCCTTGCCAGCTTTCATTTATTTCGATGTGCAATAATAATAATGGGAAGCTGCGCATAATCAGAAGTTCAGAATCAGATGTTTACTTAAGTTTTTATTCTGAGTAAAGCCCATTGAGCTTAGAAGCTCTTTCACCGAGGGCATTTCCACACCGCAACGCAAAGCCCGACATTAATTTGACCGCCTTAGACGCGCTGTGCCAGCGCAGACCAATGCCCACTTGGCAAGCCGGCGTTGCGGCGTTCTTCTTGTGTCGCACCTGGGACAGCTCCATGGGTGGGGGGGTGGTCCCTTGGCCTCCACTTGCGGCGGGGACAATCGCGGCGTGGTCGAGATGAGAATGCGGAGGCAGTGCGCTAAATGAGTCGCCGCGTCAATTTGTTTTAAGCAAGCGCCGCCACTCAAGCATGCAAATCCCGATGCTCGCGACAGGCCGTCTCTGACGCTAGGCCTGTGCCAATCTGAGCTTGCCCCAGCCAAATGGGAGCCAACGCAGGCAACCGGGGAGAGATTGAGGTGGACAGGCATGTTAGGTGCCGGCTTCAACCACCCACTGGTGTGCCGTGGTGCTGGTGTTGTACGTACATTGCACTTCTTTCGCGCCGTACGTAGCCATTCGCGCTGTATCAGAGCCGCAATGTAGTGGGCTCAGTTGGTGCTCGCTGACTGCCCTCGTTTCAGAAAGCTCGATGGCCAAAGGGACATTTGACGATTTTGCAGTGAAAATGAAAGTGTGCTCACCGCTCAGGCGGTGGACCTGGGTCGGCGGTGGTAATCCCACATTCTCATGGGAGCAGCCGGTCTCTCCAGGAAAACAACAGCTGTTGACTTTGCACAAAGTGGTACTTAATTTAATGCCTCTGCATGAACGATGATGGGCTGAGTCACTCCCCAACCAGGATTGGAACTTGCAGCTTTCTGACAGTTATTACATTTGTAATCGGTATCTAAATTACACACCCCTAATGAATTGTCCATTTGTTTGTAACGTCTGAGTGTAAAGAGCCCAGCAGTGCTGTCCATATCTCTTGCACAGATCAGGGAGCTGGACCCGAACTAAGCAGCTCGAGAATGCATTTCATGAATTGGACCACAGGCTTCTGAGATGGATGCTCGGAATTTAGTGGCAACACGGGAGCGGCAATGCAGAAGCGGGGAAGCTAAGGTTGCAGGCGGTTGTTGTGGATATGATTGCACTGGGTAGGACACGCGTGTTGTGCAGGATGGGTGAGGGCCGGCCGGTTAGCCGGCCTAGCATCGGAGTGGTCGCCACGACTCCCCGAAACCATGGGGAAGAGTAGACCAATGAACGTATGGTTGGAGACCGTCGGGGCAGAACGTGTTGGGCCGCTGAGCGTCTCTCTACCGTGCAGCAGCTGCGGGTTCTGGCGGAGGAGGGTGGAACGCGCTAGGAACGACGTGTGGTGGCATCAACGGTATTGGCCATGATCACGTATCCGCATTGCATGACTGCAGTTATTATTATGTATTTACATTGTTGCCGCCTCCTCCTCCTCCCCTCCCTACTCCCCCCCCCCTCCTCCTCCTCTCCGAACCCTTCCCGGTGCCGTCGACCCAGGGGCGATCTTCGAGGAGTCGGCGCTCAAGGACCAGGAGGCGTTCAGCCTGGCCGTGGCCGACATCAACGCCAACGAGGAGATCCTGCAGAGCGAGCAGATCACCTACTCGATCCGCACCGTGGAGGGAGACAACCCCTTCCAGGCCCTGCAGGAAGGTAAGCACGCGGGTCTTCCAGTCGGGGCCTACGGGATGTGGGGGGCTGAGTGACGCGGTGGTGGGCGGTGGCGGGGAAATGAACGGGGGGGGGGAGGCAGGGGGTGGGCTGATGCAATGGTAGAGATGTTGAGTAGGAAAATAATGATCAGCTTCTGTGTGGACGGGATGGGACGTGAGATGGCTTAGTTCTTTGGCTGTTTGTACATTTCCACGCGATAAGCCACTTTGTTGAGCTATCACATGTGGCCAGGTCGCTTCTGTATAGCTCAGTGGCCCTTGGCTGGTATAATAAAAAGAAGAGTCAAAATAGTTAAAATTGTGTGGAGGAGGTGCCATACCGTAGCTGGCCAGGAGAAGGCGGTACAGGCAGTGGACTAATCGCCACCTGTTTCCATCTGTACGGGGATTGAGCGTTGCCTCCTCTGGGTGCTCCGGTTTTCACCTCCCACGTGTATAATGAACAAAACTCGTCATTGATTGGCTGAAATCATCTGCATACTTGTAAAACTCTTATCGGTGCCTATCTTATTACAGACCAATTCAGACCTTATTGGTCATCCCGTTCTCCTTATAAATCTCAACGTTCATCCTACATAGTCCCATCAAAAGGGAGAAACACAACCAAATAGACAAAAAAAATATTTTGCCCGTATTGCAACAGCTGTACGCCATATAGATCTGAAAACTCAATTTCCCCGTACAAGAATACGGGGTAAACCCTGTGGTTTGACACGGTATGCATCATACAAATATGAATCCCCAATGCAGCAGCAGCAGGACCATTCTGACTCGGTGTGTTCTTCCTGCACGAATGAGCAAAAAACATGTTGTCAAACGCTTTCAGGTTGTAAATGAATTACCCTCCGGCGTCGCAACAACCGTCGAGGTATCCGTAAAGAACACGGACACGTAAATCGCTCCGCTCTTGTGTGCGCACATCACGTTGAGACCACCGTGCGATGCATTCTCGAAAGGTACAACGATGACGTGAACGATGACGTGAACAGAAATCTCTTGTGGGCGGTTGCCATTCTTTGTGGCGATCTCATGCGATTTGTATGCATGTTGAAATTCTTTCACGCCGTACATAGCCATCCATGCTCATCGGAGGTACGAGAGGCTTGAGCTGATTTGGATAAACATGATTTATAGTAGATTGCTGTCATGCTGAATGTTCCAACCTGTATGTCTTTCGAAATTATTTGCTGTTTTCGGTTTGCAGTGACGTGCTTCACTTCAATTACTGATCGCGTTACGCTTTTCTGTTGTTCATATTGTATCCCCCGCCCCCCCTTCACTCCCCACCCCCCATGGATTCCCTTCACCTCACCCTTGTTTAAAATGAGCATCTATGCTCGATGGGCCCTATCACCGGGTAGGGGAATCAGCGTTTCTGCCTTGGCAAAAAAACCCAAGCCAGCAACCAAGATCGGAGCTTTTGCGAGCCAGCCGATAGACATGTTGGCAGCGAAAGTTGGACTCCGGATCGTGGAATTCCCTTTGCACCGCGGAGTCTTGCTCTTGTTCCAATCCGACCCAGCCCGGTCGTAACGCTCGTGCCAGTGGATGAAGACCAGTGGCAGCATTGAGACACTTGTAATAATTGTGATACTATTGATGATAATTCACAGCTCATTTATGGACCCGCTGCCACATGGAAGTCTCCCCCCCCCATGCTGTGCTTTGTTTGGCCACGCCGGCCAGTGCGTGTCTGTGAAAGTGTCAACCCCACCACGGAACGGATCGATATCACTTGCTGCTGATGTTAGCCGTGGCCAGGTTTCGTCATCAGCATGATCAATCCACTGCTGGACGAAGGTTGGCGTTGCCTGTTCGCGTGGTCCTGTGATGTAGAATTCCGTCCGGTTTGCTGAACGTTAGCATGTGCAATGATCTCAGCCTTGTCCAGACCACCACGAGCTCAGGAACTGAACATGCGGACATATCGTTATTTAGACCGCCAAACTGAAATAGTTGAAAAATGTGGCCCCATCCCCCCAAGAAACAGTACGTATGTCTGTTGAGCTTATTTCACACCATACGAAGCCAATCCGTGATAATCGGAGGTGCAGGCGCGTTGTGAACTCTACCTTGTCTAATCACGGGCGACTTAAGCCCAGAATTCCAACCCATGGATGCGAGCTTCGCTGGCGCAGTGCCTGTGACCACCCCCCCCGCCCCGTTCGCCCCCCTCGGAGCCACTCGGCCTGTTATATTTGCAGTTTGCGCGTCTCTCTCGCCGTGCTTTTTTGTTTTCCTCTGGGCCCTCCGGGTTTTTCCCTAGAATCAGCGCGCGTTTGGAGAAATTCTGTTACCGCTTGTGAGTTTCCACACGACGATGAGCCGCTTTCGTTGAGCCGTCATTTGCGGTCGCCAGCTCGCTTCTGAAAGAGAGCGACGTAGCTCAGTGGGCCTTACGTGATCGTAAACAAAAAAAACAACAACTTCAGCTTGTAGAAGGGTCTCACGTCGAGGTTTGTCGGCTGCCTCCTCCGCCGCCACCTTTACATAAGCGGCAGTCACGCTGGGAGCTAGACACGTCTGATTAATGTGGATGGTTTCTATGCACGGTCATAATTATTGTTAATGTTTGTATTGTCCTTGCGACGGACAGATTGGCGTGAAATTCTGTCGTTTAAATCACCCCCCCCCCCCTATCCTTGCCAACTTACAAATGTTCAATTTGCCCAACCCCCCCACCCCACCCCACAGATGTATTCACTTGGCACGCACGCTGCGCGTCTACGCGCAGTGCGCACGCGCGCGTGTCTATGCGCACGTGTGTGCGCGCGTGTGTGTGTGCGTGTGTGCGCGCGTGTGTGTGTGCGCATGGTGCTCATTTCTTCAGAACTACCTCTTTCTGTTCAGTTCGTTGTCCTTCCCCCGCACCTCCGATGAGCACGGTTGGCTACGTGCGGTGCGAAAGACGTTCAACTACTGGGCATCTGGTGAAAAAGAGCTTCATAGTTCATCGGATTCCTGCAGTATAAACAAATAAATATTCTGATCCTGATTCTGACGCACAGAGGCAAAGACAAAGATCCTCCCCTTCCCCATCCTTTTGTAGACTGTTGGGGCTAGCGATGTTAGTGAGCACCTATCAAGGCCAATGCGGCACACGACGGGGTGGGTGGCCAGCATCACGCCCGGTCCACTTATGTTCTCCAAAATGCTAACGTCCAAAAGCTGAGTCGACCTCGGGGAGGCCCTGGACTCGTTCCGATTATTCTTGAGCGGTGTTGGCCACGGGCGGTGATTGTACTCGGGTCGACGGGGTTTGTAAGTGCATTTCGCGAACAAACTCCAACAACAACAACTGCCACTCGCCAATAAGTGGCGGTGATGTCAGCACGGCGCTTGTGCCAGGCTAGGTGCACTTTGAGGTACACTTGAAGTGGCTTAGGCTCGGTGGCTAGGAGATCACGTTACCCCCAGTGCCATGAATTGAATGAGATGACTGACATATGCACCATCTGTGCCCCCTACTGTGCCAACTTGCTATGCTAACCACTGCAAAACAAAGTCAAAGATCACCCGTATAGCCTTAACAGACTGTTGGGCCAAGTGCTTTTAGTGAGCACCTATGAAGGCCGGAACATTACACGAGGAGGTAGATGGCCAGCACCACACCCGGCCGTCTTTGTATCCCTAGTGGCTATGTTTTGACACACCGCACCAGGTACTCATTTGAGGCTGAGTCGAGCTAGGGGATGCCCAGGACTGGTTCAAATAATCGTCACTGGTGTTGGAGGTGGGCGGGAATCGAACCCACGTCGCCAGATTCGTAGCACAGCAGCGCCGCTAACCGCTACACTACCGCTTCCCTTGAACACACACACACACATATGCACATGCTCGTATGCATCTTCTCACATGCTCCAACACACATACTCATGTACTACATATCCCAATATCCACAGATACGAACATACACAAATATAAGGATATAGAGATAAGAATTAGCATTTAGATAGCGGTTAAATACATAGCATACTGAGAAGCTACACAGAGAGGAGTTGGAAAAGGAGCTAAAACAACATCAGATATTTTTGGTGGCGTGGTGACACCATGGTTAGCGCGCCACACGATGAAGCCCACAGTCTAAATGCGAGTTCTCACCGCGACCTGCCCACAAATGATAGCTCAACGAAGTGGCTCATCACATGGAAATTTATCGCGGCCAAATGCTCTAAACGCGTGATTCTAAATGTGGCGGGGTTAAAAAACCGGAAGACCCGGAGAAAAATTCCACGCGGCCATGGGGAGAGAGATACACACAAGGTCCAAGTATACAGGAGGCGTCAGGGTTGGGATCGAATTCACGACCTATAGTATACCAGGCGAGTGAGTTAACATCTCGTGCAGTGTGGCACCACAATTGCAGAGAGGCATTGGGAAAGGTGCTAAAACAACAACAGATATTACTAACAACAAATCGGCACGTGATGCTTACGTGACAAACCGTACGTATCGGCTGTGTCGGTTGACAGCGGAGAGCTCTTTGGTCTTGGCCATGGTGGAGAGTTTGGAATCTGATTGATTGATTGCTTCTGTGGACAGGTGTCTTTTATACAGGTAACAAGCTGAGATTAGGAGCACTCCCTTTAAGGGTTTGCTCCTAATGTCAAATACTTATTTCCCTCATTAAAATGCAAATCAATTTATGACATTTTTAACATGCGTTTTTCTGGATTTTGTTGTTGTTATTCTGTCTCTCACTGTTCAAAATAAACCTACCATTAAAATGACAGACTGATCGTTTCTTTGTCAGTGGGCAAACGTACAAAATCAGCAGGGGATCAAATACTTTTTTTCCCTCACTGTAGGGGGGGGGACCCTCATCCAGCAGTGTATTGACAAGTGGCTGTCGATTGTTTTCTATATTACGATATTAGGATGTAACTGGGAGCGATGCACTTTGAAATCCAGTTTGAAATTGCATTCCTGAAGGACTGCTTTTTGGTTTTCAGTTTGTTGCCCTTCCCCCCACCCCACCCA